AACTCTTGAAAATGGTAAACATGTACGCGGCGCTCCGTCGCCACGGCCGTTACTTCACATGTTGTCACATTAATGTTATCCGTTAGTATATTTGAGTGCTGCGATGTTGTGACCGCGCGTTCCCCGCGATCGGAAAATGATTTAAGTGATCCGGTCTATAAAGAGGCGGCATTTCCTTTTGTATTTGGTTCTTTTTTTCGCTAACTTAGATGCATCGCGAACTCTTTATTTGCCCCGTTCCGTGAAATTTAGTCGTAATATTCTATTTTCTCAGTCGTAAAATGTACCGACGCGACAGGGAGCGACAGGCACATGAATGTACTGAAAACATCAGTATTACTTCGTTGGTTATTTGCTCAGAAATGACTCTAAAATACATTAACATGAACGCAACTATGAGTATGACCTGGACGGTATTAAAAGAAACACATACAAAAATACACATTTTTCCCGGGAAATATGCAAATCTTACATCACGTGTGCCTGCTACGCGTCTCTGATTGGTTGAGTTTCTCTGCCGGCAAAAACAAGCGTGGGGACGCCCGCTCAAATAGTTTTCTTTGTTTGAAAATAACGCTAATTTCCACCACTACATAACGAAATTCTTGTGAATAAATGTATAACTCAAAAAGTCTTTTGGGGAAATAAATATTCTTTTCCGGATTTTTGGTGTATTTGGTGTTCTTTATTCATGATCGAATGGTGCCGAAGTCAGCGTACCCTGACGCTCATGAGCGATTCGCGATCGCCTAAATATCGCTGAAGAGAACATGTTCAGATCCTGGCGATTATGTTTTAGATCGACTACGATAAAACTTCAGGGCTGTCCTCGGCAAAATCAGATGAAATTTCAGTGTCAAGCTTTGCAGGAAATTATCAAATGCCGCCGCTTGCTGACGCACGCACTCGCTCTGTGCGGGTCACCGATCGTTAAATTATAATGATTTCTTGTTGCCGGGTTCCTGCGGCGATTTACACGCTATTTAATGGCAAAACACAGCAATTTGGGATGTTATCTCATCATATCAGGGTGTATTCCGGTAGATTTTAGCCCTATATGTGTTTTCTGGTGTTTAACTGTGTTTTCCGGTGTATTCCGGTAAATAGGCAGACCGGTCTTCAACTCATTGTGCTTTACACTTTCAGTGCAGTGAGCATCCAGCCATGGGCAAGTTTGAACTGGAGATGTTCGACCCTCCCCCTGACCAAGAGTTCATCTGTAGCATTTGCAGGTAAGTGTATAATTAGTAGCCTGGTTGATTCATTACATATTTGGTTTGGAGGGATCTATACTTAACCTCCTCCATGCTGCCTAATAATCCCATAACCAAAAGAAATTGGTACCAAATGGCTACCATTAATAGCAGATGGCCAGCATGCCCTTTTCTGTAGAGTGTAATTGGCAGTTTTAATTCTACGTAGAGCGTAGATGGACCTCTCTAATTCAACGTAGAGCGTAATTGGCGCATTTTGCATAGAGCATAATTCGCGTTTTAACTCTAGGTAATGTGTTTTGGCCACTTAAAACTTATGGTCAAGTGTAATAGCTTCTGTAGTGTAATACGTAGCTGGCTTTCAAACTTCAGCGTAGAGCGTTGTCGGGACCCCCCATGCAGGCCCCCTGGCAGCCTAAAGGTTAAAGTGAAGTGGCACTACTACATGTAGTATGCATGTAGCTGCCACTATGTAATTACCTGTACAGTGGTTTCAACACCCAAACTGCCCAATAGCCTTGTACCACTCTATCGCAGCCCTCTATCTCTGTTTCCTTAGCCTTTGAGCTACGTAGCTTTGCAAGCACATTTTACGTGCCACAAAACAAAAACAAAATTTTTTCTAGGTGTGTGATGGAAGATCCCCAGGAGTGTCCTTGTGGCCACGTCTTCTGTAAGGACTGCATCCAGCGGTGGCTCCGGTCTCACAGCACTTGTCCCAACTGTCGCAAACAGTGCCAGCAAGTCAAGCCTGTGTTACCCATGGTCCGTAATCTCATCAGCCACCTGACTATACGGTGTGAGAATCATCAGGCAGGATGTGACAAGAAGGTTCAACTTGAATACTATGACAGCCATAAGGAGGTAAGTACACTGTGATCTGTGTATAATGTGCTGTGGTGAATACTTGGTACAATCTATTATGACAAGAAAAAATTGCTGTTTACTTATCTTACCTCTGGATACATTGTTTTTGGGTTGGTTTTTCTGTGGATATGTGTGTATGTTTGTCCAGAGAGAGTAGCATGAGAGTGGAGGGAAGACTGACAGGCAGAATGACAGCAGGTCAAAAGTTCAGACACAGAAAATGGGGTGAAGGAATCTGGCTGGGAGCCAGCAGGTATTAAAAGTTGGAGATGGGGGAATCCAGGAGGCTTGAGTGATCCTCCTACCCTGCACAATTTCTGTTTCAGTCCCAATTAAATTGCATCATACAATCTCCTCAGCTGTTCCAATAAATTCAGGAAAGCCCTAAATACTTCCAGCAACTTTTTCCGGATAAATTGAGTGTAATATACACAAATTTGCTCTTAAAATGAAATATTGTTCCCTCCCCAGGTCTGTGACTATGCGTCGGTGCCTTGTCCTAATGAAGGATGTGACTTGCACATTCTGAGGATAAACATGGATGAACACAACGGTGTGTGTGACTACCACAGAGACACCTGTCTGAAGGGATGTGGCATCTCCATTCTCAGGAAGGAACAGGCTGGACACAGCTGTGTCCTGGAGTTAAAGAAAAAACTGGAAGGTAATGCAGAAAATACTACAAGATGCTTGATTGTGTGTGTGTGTGTGTTTGTATGTGTGTGTGGGGGGGGGTGCATACAGCCATGCATGTGTAAATGCTCCTTTATGTCTGCTAAGTTTCAGAAAGTCTGTTTTACAAGATAGATTTGGTGGCTTCATTTTAAATCTTCACATTTTTTGCCTTGCTTGCAGAACAAGAACAGGAGAAACGTTCTCTCAAACAGAAAAATGAGGAATTGCAAGCAAAAGTGGACAATCTAAAGTTCTTGTGCTGGAGAAGCAGGAACTACTTGAAGAAGAACATCCATGCCAAGGCACCAAGGATCCTTCAGAATCTGTGTATAGACTTGGAGAATGCCACAGGATTGGCTCCAGACAACACTGAGGGCCATAGGGACACAGCCATTCCTCATACTGAAGCAGGAGTATTGGTATTTGAGTCTGGATCATCAGAATATGAAAGTAGTCCACCACGTCCCCTTGACTCCTCCCCATCTGAATATCAAAGTAGCCCAATACGTCCCCTCATCAGATCTCCTGTACATCAAAGTAGTCCACCACATGCACGTCCCCTTGACTCCTCCCCTTCTGAATATCAAAGTAGCCCAATACGTCCCCTCATCAGATCTCCTGTACATCAAAGTAGTCCACCACGTGTACGCCCCCTTGACTCCTCCCCTTCTGAATATCAAAGTAGCCCACCACGTCCCCTTGACTCCTCCCCTTCTGAATATCAGAGTAGCCCACTACGTCCCCTTGACTCAGATGAAGAGGAAGATTGGTTAAGAGCAGGCAATAGAGACAGGAATACTACTTCCACTACTGTTGGTGCTACAGACAATGCGCAATCAACAGCTGAGGACAACAATGACGAGCGTGTGGAAGGGGGACAGGCACAGCCCCCAGAGGAAACCAGACGATCATCCGAGGAAGCAGAACAGAACAACCAGCAAGTTGACTCCACACAGGCCAACAGTAGAAGGACAGGGAATGCTGGTACAAGCTCCACGGCTGTAGAATCTCCATATGAAGAATCTCCATACGAGGAATCTCCATACGAAGAATCTCCAGCTGATTCAGACTCCCCGAGTGATGATGATGATGAATCGGAGTCGGCCCATCGAGCAAACCTGAGGCATCTTCTGTCATCAGACTCTGATCCGACATGGAGCTCCCCCTCAGAGTACCAACCTAGTGAAGGGGAGGAGCCAGCTACTGGTAACAATGTGCCCGAGGATGATACCATTGCCAGACGGAGGAGGAATGTAGCCCTTAGATACGGAGGAGGGTTGAGGATTCATACAAGTGACAGTGAAGAGGATCGTCCCAGTGCTGGAACTGTACAGAACAGCACTGAGTCGACACAGCAAAACAGCCCGAGTCATTCTGAAACAGCAGGAGAGAGGGTGGTGGAGGAAGAACAGAACACTCACCCAGCTTCTGATAGAACTGAAGATCCAGAGGTTGTCATTGCAGAAGAAAATGAGGAATTGGCTTATGATGAAGCAGTATCAGAAACAACAGAAAGACATTTGGCTCAACAGAGGTGAGAAATACATTACTGTGTGTTTACTTCAGCATATTTGTTTGTGTTTGGATATATACAAGTATCAATCCAATGTGCAAATGCATGGTACTTCTATGCAAATATGATTATAAGATCATAAAATTATGTAGTGCAAAGTGTTAACTTAAGTTCATTTAGCCTGTATGTGTTTCCACCATCTAGGTCCACTGGAGTCACCCGTCCACCCCTTGTTGTCAGGAATTTCAGGAACAGGCACAGAGGTCAAAGGTCAAGGACAAATCAAGGTCAAGGGAACAGTAGAAGCAGAGGAGCGTGTAGACCACAGCGGGGTTCGGCCAGGTCATTTTGCTCGTCGGCTAGGCAGACGGTCATGCAGACAAGAAGCCGCGGCCGTGACACAGTGCCACCCGTCATCACTATCGGTAGCAGTGACGGCAATCAGTCGCCCAATCTGCAAAGAGCTGACACAGAGGGCGATCACTCACAGGTGGGGGGAGGAGCAGCGTCACAGCAGCAGAGCAGGTCCGTACAACAGACAGAGGGAAATGAAAACTCTGCAGCAGAAATCGTGGAAATCAACCTCTCCGGAGCTGAGGAAGTCACAGCTCCGGGAGACGTAAGGACAAGACGACAGACAAGAGCGTTGAGGAAACGTAGGACTGCACAGAGGAGACGTCCAGCTCAGGGCACAAGGCGGTCAGGCGCAAATGCCGGGCCGTTGGAAAGTAGTGGAGAAAGCGACTCAGATTGTGTTCCTGTCGCACCCAAGCGTACTCGCCGTCACAATGGTGGAAGAAACTAATACTACATGTATAGCTGGCAGATGGCTGAAATTGTAAAACAGTAAAGTTAACATTCAAAGCCCTCAAGATATTGAGCTGGTTTTGTTATCTGTGAAGTAATGTGGCATATTTACACCCATTCCAAAACATGTTGTGAACTTGGAGGTATTCACTTCACCCATGTTTTGTTCTAGAAAAGGACATGGAAAAGATTATTATGAGAAGAATTTTCCCATATTTTGTCTAACCATTGCAGGAATCTAGTACATGACATGTATGAATATATATCTAAAATACATTAACAATTTTCACAAAGTTATTTTACATTGTATTAATTTATGTTACATTAAGCACAACTATGTTTAACAAAAATAAAGTATTAAAAAACAGTTTCGTTGTTCCTCTAGTTGCTTTTGTGTTACAGTGTAGTTATGTTTGTATGGGGCTGGGAGTACATGTGGGTGTGTGAGTGCAAATGAGAATTTCAAATTGTGTAGTACACCTTTTACATGCATCCTTACAGGCAAAGGAGCTTAAGGTCAAAAGGAGCTTCACTTTATGGTTTGAATGCTGGTTGAATGTAAACATAAATGTCAATGCTCTAAAATGAAGAAGCCTAGGACGAGTCTGTGCAGTACTTCATTGAAGAGCTAGGTGGCATTCCTGATATTCTGAATTATGTCAGGCTATGCAGTCCTCAAGTAGACAAGCATTCATTAACCAGAACTTAGAGGCATCAGCCAACATTCCATATATTGAGCACTTCAGTACATGTCTATGTAAATAAATATGGATAGAAAAGGACATTAGTGGATGTTGTTCCAAATTAACATTAAGATGATGCTTCACTACTCTGTTCTTCACACCTCATTTGTCTTTACTTCTACAAACGTAGTCTCACCATTCTAACAGAAGGGCCATTTTGTATGTTGGAAGATTAACATGGCCATTCCCAGAGGAGAGGGCCCATAGAAACCTGCCTGCAAGACCTGGCTGTAGCCCAAAGTTAATATTGACTTGCCCTCAGGCTCATGCTCATCAGTATTTTGGAATAGTTGAAGCAAAACCAAGAAAATCAGGCACAGCATATTGATAGCACACTCCACCCAGGTTGTTATCAGGTTGTTGGTAGTGAACAGTATTTAGGAAGCAGGCAACTAGCAGAGTCTGATTGTCAATGAGGACAGTCGGCCATGCGTTACGGGTGACTAGAGGATTATATCTGTATGTGCTGCGTGTTGTGTTCTGAATGTTGATACACAGACATTTTCATGACTTCTTCAAAATACAAAGTGCCTTCCGGTTCACCTTGCCATACTAGTATTCAACATGGGTAAGGAGGGATACCTCGAGGCTCGTAATATACTACCTATTTCTCTGACGGTTTTAGAATTTGTTTGTCTTCTTTGGGAGGGATTATTCATTTTCAGTTCAGTGAATCCAGTGTTGCTGTAATCAGGACTACCTGTAATTGTAACCATAGACAATCCATCAGGCTTGTATCAGTGTAGAAGAGCCCACAAGTAGAAAAACACTTTCATTTGTCCAACCAGCCATTAGTTGTACTTCATCTTCCATTAGTCAAATCCCAGCTTTGTGTGTGGAATAGAAATAATGGAACATCTGAGGAAGTTTCTGACCTATCCGGGAGATGATGAGAATGTGGTGTGCATCTCCCATCATTTTGCACACCTGAGAAACGTAAGGTTTGGTTGTTTTTCACAGGGATGAGGAGAATTTAGGGCAAGGTAACTTCAGGGCATCCAAGCTTCCATTGTGTACGCTGAGAGAATTGATACTATCTAGTAAATATATGTGGGGGAGGGGGATCTCTAGTGGATACATCTTCCATTTCAGGTAAGTGTTGTTTATCCGAGGTTTGCTTCCGAGAAAGCTTAGGCCGGGCCAATTCATTTTGTTGGTTCTGGAATATAGTTATAGAATTATGAATTGTAATAAAGACAGGAAGTCAGAGTCTGAAGGGTACCTTGTAAGTTTACCTTTGCATACATTTGTGTAAATTCGAATATTAAGTTGGTAAGTTACAAGTTCACCTGCAGTTAAGTCTCTTATTTATACATTGATTAAATGGTTTATTAATTTTTCATGGCTTCACCACACTACGAAGATTCCATTGCTGCATGGGGGTGTAGACTGTTGGAACACTTCACGTTTTGAACAGGGGTAATTTAGGATCAATCCATATGTGTGCGAGGGGGATAGGTCCATTTTTGGTATAGGGGATGTGGTGAAGCCATGCTGCATTTGCTCCTGAGCAAATGTCGGCCTTTAGTTTTTACACTAAATTCCTACGTCCTAATGTATTCAGTTATAGACCATTGCAAGCACGACTTGTTTGTGCATCTTTATTGCAAACTCAAAATAGAGAAGTTCGTCCAACACCACTGTGCTTTTTTCGTCATTATTGAATGTTGTACTAATATATGAATAAATTTACAAACACTTTCAAATTTAAAGGAATAGAATAAAACATTTCATCAAATCTTTACCTTTTTTCTCAAAGCTTACTCTTGTGATATAACTAAGCTTTGAAATAATGATAACTGTTTTGTAGTCTCTGTTACTTGGTAACACAAATCAAGAACATATCTGTAATACATATTTCTTACCAGTCAGTGAAAAACAACAATTAACCTCATTTTTTCAAGAATGTCATTATCTCCCAACCAGTTGTCCCATTTGTGAAAAGACTTAAAATGCATGATTCACCACAGTTATTTAGTACATGTATTTCATAGCATGTAGCAGACAAAAAGACATCTATCGTGGTAGTGTTAGACTGCAATGCCACGACATGCAGCATATGTCTATTGAACAAACCAGCAACTGTATACAACACCAAATTGAATGTTTTATACCCAAAATGCAGTTTTAATATCAAGCAGAAATGTGGTGGGGTGGGGCGTTACGATTCTGGCATGGAACTGTAACAATGTGGAATACATACTATTAGGAGAAATATCAAGGTTGACTACAATCTAGATTCATACTGCATGGCATGGCATAGAAGTACACTACTGAGTCAACGTTTGTCTACATGACACATCACAGGATTTCTTCCTGATTATGCCTTAATACTAACATTCTAAAGGCTCCAAATTGTGCAATACAATGTATTGTGTTTTTCGTTTTGAGAATGAAAACTAAGATACATGTTACCTTGTTCTTTCCTTTACATCAAACCTGATCTTGTATTTATGGGTTCACCACACCACGAAGTGGTGTGGTGAAACCATATTGCTTTTTCTGATGTTTCTCCTCCTTCTCCTCCTGCCATATCTTTAAATGGATTCAGCTTCTTCATTTTAGGGCCTAAGGTCCTGAAATTTGGTATGGAGGTACAGTGGGCAAATACCCCTAGGCGTTTTTTAAATTATTGTGATACAGGCTTTTAGAATGGTTTTATCTGAGTTTTTTGGCTGTGTAATAGCTAATGTATTACTGTGTAAGTGTGCAGTGTTTACCACATTTGGACATGAGTCATCACAATGGCATGCAAGGCATCAACCAATAGGCATGCAGCTTTCCTCTATTCTCCTTGCTGATTGGCTGTTGGGATTTAACTGGCTTAACTTCATTTACACCTGCACAGAGCCATGCCATACTGACAGTATGTCTGTATTCAAGTGTTTTGGTAGGTATTTTAAGCTTTCCTGCTCCAGCATTGGAATGCGGGCTATGAACGCTTCTTTTTATCTTGAAAATCAACAGTTTGCATTATGCAATCCTAACCAATAATGTAGGGAATAGCTATCCAACTGTTGTAGTCTTAGTTGTATGTTACTTCATACTATAGTTATATCAATGTAAAGCATTGTTTTCCCTTGTGTTTCTCATTCTTTCCCTGCCATGTGGTAAAATGTGGTGAACCCATCGCTATATTTGCTCCAAAGCAAATATTGGCCTTTCTAGTTCCATGTGCTTTTTGTAGGGATTTTTTTTTGTCTCGAATTGTCTTTTCTGTTAAGTATGAACCCCAGAACACCATGCATGTAAAGTTATGATTGTCATAATTATAGGACTACGGATTGCTTTAAATCATTTTACGATAAAGACTTGCACAAACATATAATCTTTTTTAGATGCTTGGATACATCTGTACTCTCCACAACGCTACAATGTGGTCTGACTGAATTGTACATATTCACATATCTTGATGGACAGTCTATACATAAGGCCACACCAATTTAATTTGTTGGTTCTCGGATTTTTACAGAAAAAATATGAAGCGACAGGGCGAAAAAAAATAAAAATAAAAACAGGTCTAGGCATCCTATTATAGCCTTAAATGCTACGGAATGAGCCATGAAGTCAGCACAAAAGGCTGGGTTGAAATTTAAACATTGAATTTTGAACTTTTAACCAAACCACTGCAATGATAGATGGGAAAACTGTAACTAGTAGGAAGAAAAGGACTTTCCTCAACTGTTAGGGGCAAAACATGAGCATTTTTCAGTTGATTCAGGACCAGAATCAAATTTTTTTTTTTTGCAAATCAGAAAAAAACAAAGAGGCGAATCCGAGAACCAACAAATTAAATTGGTGTGGCCTAAAATATCTGCAAAAATTTCTGCAAAAGTGACACATTTAATTCAGAAACTCCAACAACTGTGCAGTTGGTATATTTCCTTGTTTTCTTCGTAAGGAAATTTAAAAATGTAAACCCACAAAATGCACTTGACATAATTGCTTTTTCAAAATACCGTTTAATAAAAGACTTGAACCAAATGCAAAGATGCAGCTGTTTATGATTGTTTATATCGGTATCTATGACATCAATATGTGAGAATATGTAAACTAAATTTATGTAAACATGCGTGTTACCATATCCTATCCTATTCTACAAGACATTCCCGATTTGTACGATGATAACAATATAAGCAACTTATAATCCAATTAATAATATTCTTGTGGCTTTCAAAGAGAAGATTTTAAAAGACAATTTACTTTGACCCCTGCATTTGACAATACCACTGGTGAGATCTAAAAATAATTTTTTGTGACTTTTTTTGTGATTTGCACAAAACCTGTAGTGTTACATTTCCTTCAAATTGCACAATACTGAATAGATAAGTTCAACTATACAAACATTTATATATACATACTGGAATGCAAGAAGTATATATTCCAATTTACTTTTTTTTATCCCATCTCTGTGTTCAGATATACGGTCAGAATTTTCAAAATATCAAAATGCTTTAGGTATGAAAAGTGCTAAAAGGTCCAACTTAATATGTTTTTGCAGAGCATATCTAGGGACTAGCTTTTTTTGTTGTCACATTTTAAAGGAGCTGAAAAAAACAAGCCAAAGTAACCTCTTTTTTGCAGAGCAATGAAAGCTTTCATCTCATAATCAAATAGTCAGAATATTAACAACTTAATGGTTGTAGTATTGCATTTTAGGGCTCTAGATCTGCCCTTGGTGTATTGCCAAAAATGGCATTTTAAAGTGTCTAGAAATATAGTTTGATATTTGAGTTGAGAAGTTCTTGCTTTTAGTTACCGGGTTTGGACTTAATGCATAGTTTGGCTATCTATCTGATAGCACTGCTAAACATGAATGCAGAGTCTTTCAGTACAGCAGGCAAAACTGTCGGGACAGGATGCTATATTTTGCAATAATTTAGATAAATCCACAAAAATTAGCTAAATCAAACCTAAGAACACTGCACATCTGTATTTACAATATTTACAACAATCCTGTAACAAGCAACTGTGCTTTTTTGTGTTAAATTCTTATCAATTTTCTTGCACCAAAAACATTTATTAGGCCACACCATCTTAATTTCTTGGTTCGAATTCTTGTGTTTTTGCTGGAAAGTGATGAACCCAAATGCTCACAGGAGCCACAAAGACAATGCATCAGGGTGATTAAAATTTCTTAATTCATAATGTATGAATAAATAGACTAACGTAACATTAACAACACTGAAGGCAAAGTATTAGTGCCAGAATATGAGATTTTAGTGGTTGATAGGTATCCTAAACAGTACTTTTTTTTCAGATCAGAAAAAATGTGGTAGATATGAGAACCAAAAAATATGAGTTGGTGTGGCCTTAAGAATGTAAATCAGGACTAATTTATCTAGACATATTTAATTTGAAATGGAAACACAATAAAATACTATATGTATAATGTATAATGTTGTTCAGTAAAATTCATGCTATCAACACATCTCTGCTTAGTAATACATACTATGTACAATCCAATGAAACACGGCAAACAAGCTCATACTTTAAAGTAATAATAAAAATAACTAATAGTTTGTAATATTCTTGGCTTCATTTTAAAACAAGTCTTCCATGTAACTTATCCATCCTTGACAACAAAAACTAACAATTGAATTATGGAAAAAAATAAGTTATGCTGACAGTGTGTTCAAACAAGGCTTAGTTCTCAGGAAAACTTCAAAATTCCTTATCACAGACAGTAGAAATCATAGTTCTGAATAATATCAGTATCTTTCTCCAAAATTAAGATTAAGTATAATAAAAGTTGGTAAAAACACATGATTGTATGATACTTTTGAAGTTTCCTCTGAGTCAGAAAGATGAAAAGTACAAATTGTAGATTTTAAGTATCTATAGGGGAACGTTGATAACCTTTTTCGTGTCTAGAATAGCCAAGGTAATATACAAAACCCACAGCATAACCATAATGGCTGAGGAGAGGTATTTGAGACTGGGCGTTCCGCCAAGCTCTGCCTTTCCGAAGGCTGGAACAATCCTCCGTAGGACCAGGAGGATGATGCACAGGATTGCACAGATGGAATACGCCATCACGCTGAAGGCAAGCGAACCGGCTGGGACTTGAAATGTTTTCCCCTAAATATGGAAAGAAAACATCATGTGTAAGAGATAGTTTTCAGACCAGAAGTCGAATTGCAATGCATGTAGGCTTCCAGGCTTTGGGGCAATTGTTGCTGCAGATTTTTGTAAGTTTTTCCTTTACAGTGTACACTTACCAATTTCCTTCAAAAAGTTGTCAATACCAAAACCCAACCCTGATATTATTTCTTGCCCTCTCTTTTGTAATGCTTAATCTAACGTTGGTCATGTAGCAGAAGGAAATTTTTGCAGATGAACTTCGAAGTGGTATTGAGTTGAGATAACTTGTTTGATCACACATTGAAAACCTGTTACTTTCCTTCGTTTGAACACATTTTTGGACACACATTATCCACAGAAGAATCCTAGAAGTCAACAATCTGCAACAGCCTTGGCATTTTATTTTGAGTTAGGGCATGGAGGTAGACTCCATGGTTAGGGATATGATCTTGATATTGAAAGTTGGCATTCAAGTCTGCATGTGTACCTGGCATGTTTTACTGCAGCTGCGGACAAATGTTTCTTTCACAGCAGGGAAGACTATCAAAATCCCGCTAACATCACAAATTGTTCTCTTAGATCGTTCGGCCAAAAATAGATCCTCATTTTATTACAGAACCATTGTTGTGCATAGCCATCTAAAGAATATGACCAGACATAAATGTGATGAGATGTGTGCTTTCCATTTGCGAGTAAGCCTTTCAAAACAGGCTTAAATGTTCGAATTGTGATAAATCTAGAAGCATTTGGGTGAGTGTAACAGCTGAGCGTCATTTTAGCTGGATGAAAGTCCATAGCAACCATGCCAAACAGCACTCTGTATGATTTGTTGATGGTTTCGAGGGCTTTATGTCTCAAAGCTACATAAAACAGTCTGAAATGTGTCTCACAGGCAAGGCTGCTCGGAATTTCTCGTCCAAGTGCAAGATCATGCAAAATGCATGTTTTTTTTCAGCTCCTTTGGCATTGATATGCTGTCTTCGATCAAAAACAAGCATGTTGCTATGCTCACACAGTGAACTTTCTTTCAGTTATGACTAAAAAAAATTCATGCTTGAAAAGTCATGTTTCAATCATCATAAGTGCTTTTCTGTTTGCATTATCCTTTGGTTCTTTAAAGAAGATGATGCGAGCAGCCAATTATGAAGCCCTACAAAAGGCTGTCCTCTTTATGTAAAAAGATCATTTTTTGATCATTGTGAAGCTTTTAAAGCAAATGGTGCACGTCAGCATAATTATGATGGGAGTGGTGTCTGTTAATGAAATATTGCACGTCAACAATTATGATGGGAGTGGTGTGAGTTAATGAAACGTTGCACGTCAGCAATCATTGTGGGAGTGGTGTCTGTTTATGAAATTTTACATGTCAACACGAGACAGACCCGCCTCGCAATTACGATGGGAGTGTTGGCAGTTAATATAAAAAGAGTTATGTCTCTGTTAGCCTGGGCGAGATCTCACTGGCACAAATAGCATTATATTATCATCATCATGAATTTTTAATGAGACTTTTGTCAAGACTAGTTTCTCAAAGTTGACTGAGCATAGTAGAGGACAATTTGTTTTCTTCCTACATATAATTGCATTGTACAGTGTTTTCTTCAACAGAAGTTTCTTCATTTTCATTAGTTTTGTTATTGCTATTTGATAGAGGCAAAAATGATCACTGGAAGGAGGACTGTAAAGAATATTTTCAGCTCAACCATCCATGCATTTTTTCTATCTTTTTCCATGGGAAGGGTTTGGTATCTTCAATCTTCAACCCTTAAAGCTTAAAAAAGTTGGATTCAAAGTACACGTACATGTCTGTGTATCTTATAGCTTCTCAGCTGTCTAGTGCATGTTGAGAAGAAAGACAGTTACTCACCTGAGCTTGCCAGTAGATACTGGCAATCAACCAGGGCAGACCCAGACCCAGGAACACATTGACTGAGTTACTGCCGGTCACATTCCCAATGGAGGCATCTGCATACTTCTCTGCTCTAGCAGCCTGTCACACAAGCAGAGAAATATAACATTCTTCAGTCATGAAATATTTTCAATGATCAAAGTCAAATGTTCTAACTTATTAAAAAACACATTCATAGAAATGATGACAAATAATGCTGACTCTGTGATGAAATTTTTTGCATAATGCCTGTCATAGAATTCCATCATTTCTTCAGCTTCATTTAAAAGACTCTACAAAAGTCCCTGTACTTTTTTTGTTGTGTCAATAAAGAATCTGTCTTTAAAGAATGCTATAAGCTAAGATATTCTTGTCAATGTTGTGTAAAGTGTAAGCCATTTTGAGTTTGGTTGGTTGTTTTTTTGGTCACAGTTGACTTTCTTCCTTGCTGATGATTGGTTGAGTGACAGCCTGTATTCTTTGCCTGTGATTGGTCAGTTCTTGTTGACCCTGTCCTTGGTGCTGATTGGTTGGTGCTGGTACAGCCATCAGCTGCTCTCAGTTCCCTGTCTTCAATCTTAATCAAAGATCTCTACCACTGTTCTTGGCATTTTGTTCTGCGTGTTAACAGGGTTTGGCTTACCGTTCTGCTGGCAAAAAGATCCGGTAAGCTTGTTCCCATGGCAACTAACGTAATGGCGGTGAGGTTGTCCTCCAACTTGATCAGGCAGCCGAAAGTGGAGGCCAGGTCGCTGATGATGACGGTCAGGAGGAAAATGAAGCCCATCAGGGACACGAGGAAGGTCAGCCATCCACCCAAGAAGTTCACAGGTGGAGTAAGGGCAAACAGGACCTGGGGGGGAGGGGGGGACACAGGAGTGGTCATTGTAACAGATGCTAGAATGTACATCTTGTCTCGTATAACTTTACCAAGAATCATTTTCTGCCAAACAAAATCATGACACATATCCAATAGTGTACCCTACAATTATTGTACTATTATTTCAGAAACTCCAATCTTACTTTCCAAACTCCTACCATTCAACACAAATATGGCCAACAATAGAACCCATCTAAATAATTCTCTTATACATAAAGTATATGTATGTATACTTTATGTCCCATTCAAATCTTGCAAGTATATGTACAAAATTTTCCATGAAATACTGTAATGCTGAGATGTTACAGAGAGCCTAATTCACACAGACTTATCTATCATATGTTACACCTTTTCAGTAAATGTAGTTAGACTCATAGTGTCATACCTTCCATCCGAAGGTCAGGAAATGCATGACGTAGTCCATGGTTGTTGCGTTCTCCACGTCTCCTCCGTTCACGTTCATGGCATCCCTGAACTGTCCCCCCCACGTGGAGGAGGCCAGTTGCAAGTGGTCCATGTTCACGTTTACAATCGTCAGGACACGGTCCACCAGGCCGTTATATTCTATAGGGAACAGAAGAAATAGTTTGTTGTGAGTTCCTTTTGTTGTAAGGACTTTTTAATACCATCAGTGTTATCCACAGTAGCATCAACTCTGAATTATTTGTAGGGTATTAGGATTTTCTTCTTACACAACCATATAGTTCTCACCTGCTTATCCTAAGTATCTTCCAACCTGATTATTTACGGTGAATTATTTGTAGTATAGTTTTCTCTCCTCAAAATCAGAAAGGTCAATGACCTGAACCAGATGTCTGTCACCATGGTAACATGGTGTTGGGTTACATCATGTTGCAATTTTACAGCAGGAGGGAGGTTGTAGCATTTGAGAAATGGATTCATGCTTCAAAGTCAATGAGAAGATGCGGCCAAAAACCATGTTTACAATTTGTATCAATGACTCCAACTGGCATAGCACATACATGTAAATAAGTGTGAATGTTAACATTCATTTTAGAGATCCCTAATTTAAGGAAACATGGTACAGAAAGTTTGTGAATAAGGATGACAATGTACCATCATCGTTGACAATCGTGATGACTGTCCTCCTCTGCCTGCCAATGAGAGCCCCGCCCGCAGCATCTGACAGCTCCACCATGAAATCCTCATCCTTCTCAAAGTCCTTGTCATCAAAGATCTGGATGTCAATGTTCTTCTCAGTCTCACCATGCTGAAACTCTAACACCCCCTCTCCACCTGCAATAAAAAATATGTATAGGTTATTTTATTGCACATTCTGTCAGTATTTGCAAACTGCTTTAAAGTTGAAATAAAAAATGACTCAGTCATAAAAGTAAGTGCCCAAGGGCAGCGCTAGCAAATGCAGCTGAGTACACCATTTCCTTCTCCCCCATGTGTGATACGATTTACAATGCAATTGAGAAATGAAGCAACAGGGACATGTTCAAAGCCAACATCCAGATGGCTTTGTTTGTAATTAGCTAATGTTGTGAGCTGTGTAAATATGCCGTTAGAAAAGTGCAGTTAGAAATAAATTGACTTGTACTTTGTCTGTTCGGAAATGAAGGTTGTCCAGGACAACGTAGGAAATAACAAATACTATGTACAATGTAAACATATAAATCCCACCTCAAATTTTATTAACTACATTGGCTTGATGTTAAAAGTTCAACAACACTGATGCACTCTGTGTGGACATGAGTTAAAGAAAACTGAAGTTTGAACTTCTTTCTCAGTAAAGATCCTCTTTTTACAGTTCCCTGTAACCACGTGTATGTGTACATATGTAAATATTGTACATTTGGGAATGCATCTATAGCAGCGACACCTGTGCTGCAGTGCAATGTGAACCAGTCAGAATTGCCCTGAGGAAGGTGACAGACGGTCACCGAAACGTCGGCTGTGAATAAAACACTTGGTTGTGTAAAAAGAGTCTCTTTACTCAGTAACTTACCAACCTGTTGAAACTATGCACACAGTTTTTTCTATGTATAAAAAGAGTTCTTACCAACATAATCCCTCCCGTTCACAGCCCTCATGTCCTTAGTCTTCCACTTGACAGAGATGACCCCATCTGACCCCTTGGTCCTCTGTACAGGGATGCTGGCTGTCCCTGCCGACTCCTTGAAGATGAAACTGGGCTTGGTGAAGTCCAGGACACCAGGATCTGATTTAAAAAAAAATTTAACAGCTCTCAGTGGCCAATGTGCAGATGTTGTCACATAGGCGCAACAAATCCGTATGGTGTTTTTGGCACCCAGACAGACAGATTAGCCTAAGAGGCTCGGTGGGCGTCACTCCACCGTATAGGTGGGGAAGTCATGTAAAGTGCCCTTCCGAAGGGCACAACGTCGGGCCACAATGAGTATCGAACCCGGGACCTCTCGGTTCCGAGTCCAACGCTCTAACCGCTGCGCCACCGATGCCACTTCAGCATCTGATTACATCAAAATAAGGCAATTTGTTATCATTGTACAGTTACAGTGGAGATCAAGGTTACTGATTGTTTGAGGAGACACATGCCTTCCATTATGACTGGCCACACTAAATACAGTAATATATCATTCCATTTCTTAACAACTTACTTGTCTAGTGAGATATTGCAATATGTTAGATGTCCTTGGTGCTGAATGTGCAATCATTTTGTGCTCTTTGTAAAATGGGTGATAAAATGCATTAAGGTACTGTGTAGTGATCCTATAATGTCTTTGCTAATTCATTTGCTTAGCCAGAGTGCTGACAGCTCTCCTTTCTCTATCCATGGTGCTGATTGGCTAGCCAGTTGTCATGAAGGCTCTTATTGGCTCATGGTTCCCCACAGCTAGTAACTCCTTTATGTATGCCGTGCATGCGATTGGCTAATCTTGTCTTTATTCATACTACAAAAAGGCTAGTATTCTTGTTGATGGTTCTGATTGGTCAACAAGATTACTACCTAGTGTTCTGATTGGCCGGTTCCTGATACAAACAGAATCACTCTTACCATCATCATTTATGATAGTAATCTCGTTGATGCTCTTCCGTCCCAGAACAGCACCGCTGTCGGGATCCACCGACAGCTTCACGAAGAAGGTCTCGTCGGTCTCCCATTGGTTGTCGTCCACGATGACGATCTTGATGTTCTTCATGCTCTCACCTGGCTCGAAGACCAGGACATCCTTCTGGGGGATGTAGTCTGACCCAGCCTCAGCTGTGCCGTCAATGGTTTCATACCTGTGATGTAGAATAGACAACAGATTCCTTAAGAATTTTCTCTCTGCTAGATCCTTCTTACCTATCTGATCACAAAACAGTTACTCCAGTTGCTTGAGTATTACATTACCTGGATGTCTAACTTTCATCAACGTACCATCTGAACGTTAGCAAAAGAACATTTTACAGATAAATTCATACAGATATTTCTGTACCTCTCCATATTTAGTGATAACATTTTGATCTTATCTGATTCATTGCTTATAGAAAAATCTCATAGCAACACTCAACACATTCCTAGTTGAAATATTTTAAAGAATGGACCAACAAAATGGCATTGGCCTTAAGCTGCAGTCATGTACAGTACTGCTACTGTCTTATTGGCTTAACAGCTAATTTAGATTGACAGGCTAAAATGCTGACCTGAAGGGCACCCTGGTGTTTGTCCTGCCTGAGCGCAGCACAGACACCTCCACCGTGCCCTGGCTCTCCATCACGGCACAGGATGACGCGGAGAACTCCACCACGGAGAACGTCCCGCCCTGGGACAGGTCCGACGCCGAGTCGATGATCAGTGGCACCTCGTCCTTATTCTTGGCCTTCTCGTAAACCTAGAGGAAGCGTCCAAATGGCGGAACGTTACTTGGTAGTCTTACCAATCCCTTTCTTTGTTCATAAAAGCACATCACATATCGGTACCAACACCACATACAAGGGTGACACCACTGTGGATAGCACCAACACCACGTACATGTGTACAAGGGTGAAACCACTGTGGACAAAACGGTTGCTGACATGCAAACACATCCCAAACAGTGAGACACAGGTCCTGGGAACAAACATATAACACTGTAACATTGTGAAGACACCTGCTATTTCGGTAGGAAGATGTACAGGTTAGGACAAACAGCCAGAGTGCAGAGGGTAAGGTGACATCATACAGTCTACTACTTCAAGGAGTGTAAACTAAACACAATTATAACATCACATTTGTGAGGAGTCACATTTTTCGTGCATCCAGAGTTGCAGTTAAGGGATCAAAATTAATCAATTTCTTGGGGAGAAACATAGTAATTTTGTTATTATTGAAGATAGAAAATGTAGAGCATGCCACAGACGTTGTTTATACATGTAAACCCTGTGAAGGTATCTGTTAAAGATACTAACATTCCACAGATAGACATAAGGGTCTTCAGACATAACAAGATGTACAGAAAGAAATCTTACCCAGGCAGACAGACAGAGACATCAGGAGGAAAAGTGGAAGAGAATTCCAGACAGACAGATTCAGGGAGGACAACAGTACAGGAAAGATAGACCAAGACAGTCAAAACATGATTACAAAACATCACTAATACACACATCGTTCAATGTAATTGTCATGACTTGCTTGCTGGGTAGGTCTAATTACAACTGTCAGTTTACTTATAGTTATATTTTAAGAGATTATAGAAGTACAGAAGGTAGCACACATGTTAGTCTTTTCATTTGAGAATGTTAACAGTAGAAGTTATTTTTACCCAGCAAACAAGTATACAAAATGCAGGTGGTTTATATTTTTTACATCATGTTGAGTAACAAAGATTCAACAGAAAAAAGAACAGAAACACTCCCTGACTGCATTGCATAGCATTTGTGTGAACCACAGTGTCATGCAAGACAACAATCCACTGTACTGTGATAAATGTAATAATATAATGTGGCATCTTACACCCAAAATCCTCATCACTAATCTAAATGGATTCACATGCTCCTAATCACACCACCCTAATCTCTACCACAAGATTTGACCACTGACGGCACGTCACAAGTACCACATGACAACACCACATCTCTCACATTGCACCAGTCCTGAAACATCTGCCTACGAATGGTGAGCTATTGTCACTACTGATGCAAGGAGCACAGAATTATTGAAAAGAGAAGTGCATTAGTGGGTTAGTTCAGTCAAGAAGCACACCAAGTAAGTAAAACATGGGGGCACAAACCTGAGACCCTTCCAGTTTCTAGCATGCATGGTGCATTGAAAGACAAAACAAACAAAGTGCATGGTGAAACAAAAGTGTTAAAAACAACATAAAAGAAAATCATGGACATGTTGGTTCGGCATCTTAGGGTGACATATGATGTTGAAATGGCCAAACCTTTGCCTGGTGCAATAGGAAAAACAAAGAGCTGCTCAGGATTTGTCTGGGTTACTTTCAGAGCATACAATCTTTCTGAGATGCACTGATTACTGGAGATTCTGAAGTAGCAGGCTGTAGTTAGTACCCATGATAGTTCTGTATTCTCTTGATAATCGATAGAGATACTTCTGCAAGGTACATGCTGCATGTAAGACACCGCAGTTTGGTAAAAGAGAGGGCCATTCTTTATCGACATGCAGCAATACAATTTCACCACTTTTACAATAGGTCCATGGACATTGATGAGTCCTTAGGTTTAGGTATGAAGCCAGGAAGAGTATACTTTTAAAATTCCCCTTAGTAACCTTGTTGTAGTGACAACTAGACAAATAGAAAATAACATCCATAATTTGTGATATGATGTACAATTAGTACATAAACAGTTAACCAATACCACTCCAGCAGTCTCAACTAACCAATGCATCTCTAATTGAATTTCTTTTAATGCCAGAATACACTTCAGATTATTATTAGAACATAATATTCAAGCATGTGTGCAAATACTGACAGAGTTTTATTGTTAGTTGCAAATACAGTGCACTTACATGTATCAAATCAGCACTATAATAATAATACAGCTGCATCAACTATGAAGCAACAATACTATTATCAAGATTATTCACAACACACACACAAAGGAAACCATTATAATAGACTAAGTGTTGTTGTGTGGATGGATTTAGAAACCTATTAGAAAGTAGGAGAGGCAACTTTGCTTTACTTGAAGTTTGAGACACACACACATCTGCCTGATCATTTAAATTTCTACAAAAGTTTGTGTCCTTGCACAAAAGGCCTGTACAATATTTTATTGGGAAATTCTATATTTTTGTAGACGTAATAAAATTTTATCTCCTTCCCCCTCCTGTTATGATACTCACTTCCTTGAGAGTGCTGTTCACGTTGACGGAAACTTTCCGCCCTCCCACCAGCCATCGCGTAGCGTTCACGCGATACCAGCTCCTGTCGTGCTTCTCGTTCTCCTGGATCTTCAGGGCCGCCAGCTTGGCCGCCTCCTCTGGCGACAGCTTACCCCCGGAGTACTTGCTGATCTCCTTGACAAACTCGGACACGGACTGCTTGTTCACATGGCCGGGCTTCAGCTCAGAAACTGCACCTGCATATTCTGGGAAGCACAGGAATCATCGGTCACTACAGAACTGTTACGGTTACAGTACTTATACATGCAATAGCTTTAATAATTGGTATAGAGTGCTCGCTTTGTAACCGGGAGGTCGTGAGTTCAACCCTCGTAGACTTAAAAAATGGTACAACACTTCTTTCTCTGCTTAGCACTTAGCACATATGAGAAAGACTGTGGGAAGGTCAAACACACAGCACTACCAGCGGACTAGCCCCCTGCTGTAGTGCTTGCACAACTGTGTGTTGCCCAAGGGCTACGAAATGGGCACCAGTGCCACACCACCCTACGCTTGACATAAGAGCACGGAAGACCTTCTTCTTTTTCACTTGTACATGTATAAAAAAATCTGATACCCAGGTGGATGGGTATTGTTTCCAATATGAAAATGTCATTTAACAGAGAGGTAATCAATGTGAATGATCATCTTAGGCCCATTGAAGCCACACTAACCAACAGATTGAATTATCAGTACCAAGGACAGTACCAGTTTTTTCATCTTAGAATTTGAGGCAAAATTAAGGTAAACCTGCCATCATTAACATAACATTGATTCTGGAATTGTTTCTTATATCAAAATGATGTAGAAGGTCTTCTAACATGTGATAATTACATTTGAATGTGTAGAATTAGTTCTATTTATCAATGAATGCATTTTATCTACTGAACTACTGGTGTGGCCGCCAATATCTGAACCTGAATCTGCTAACTTTGCTGCAAGCAGTAAAAATTTTGATGTGCTACATGGTACAACAGCAGTAAGATTGCTAAAGAGAATGAATTAAGAAAATATTAAGAAAGAAGCCTGTTTCAGTGTTTGTATTTGCATGCACAATGCAATACCGTTAAGGAATGGCCTTGAACCGTATAGTTACATGTATAAAGGCAGTACCAGGTTCTAGCACACAAAGCTTCTGTTTCAATGGGTGCTGTGTATGAAATTTTAATGCTTTGACCAATATTGCTCCTTGGCACAGTACAAGGCATCATACAGTAATCAAACAATGTAGTTGAGGTATGTAAACACTTGAACAAAGGACTTTGCAAATCTAACAGCTTAGAGCATTGCCGATATGCCAGATGTTTGTATGCCTGCACTATAGCAACAGCCATGATGCATTGAAAATGAGAAGAACTGTCTTGAATAATTAACACTAACCATATAACACCCTGACAGAATGGACGTGTTGGACAATGCGTTGGTGGAAAATGTCACGCAATGATGGGTTTGGTAGACAGTGATGACGTTGTTCCAGGTTAACGACCATGAGCTTGAGTCTTACTAAGGTCATGGTCGCAGCGGGATTTATTTGTCTGGCATTTAGAGGCCATGACCAGCACTAGGCAACTGACACATGCCTGGACAGACAGACGGAACGGTGAGGCTGCCTTTGTACCACGCCATTATCCGAAAATGCCAAAATATTTGTCATGTTTAGCTCAGAACCTTTCAAGTTTCAAAATTTTGAACGAACTTGAAACTTAGTGCAAAATGTACATGTAGACAATACGTTGCAGATATTATATGAATTGTCAATATTTCTATGAGTTTATCATGATAGTAAAAGTCCCTCCTGCACTGGGTGGTGCATAGGACGGTGCCAATCTGCAGTTCAATAGCCTTTGGGCCACACAGTAGTGCAATCACTACAGCAGGGACCAGTCACCTAGTAGTTGGCATAAGTTTATTATAATCATCCTGATATTGCTAAAATGGGCCAAGATGATTTTAATAGCATTTTCTGTCACTTTTCAGCTGCCATAGTATCGCCACATCAATTCCCGAGGGAAAGATCTTAATGTGACAATACAATGACTTTGTAAACAAGGTATAAACCCATATAGTCAGGAAATTGTTAAAAGTGCCTTTTATGTTGTATAATAAACTACCTGCTGCACTCACAAGGAAGTATTATAAGTATAAATCAGATGTTGTTTTTACAAAGTAGCTGTCTTTAGTAACTTATTGAATGTTTAATGACAATCGCCATTATCTTGTAAATTTCAGACTTTGACTAATGGGACTACACGCGATGATGTCACATCTGTATCCATGGTTTCTATGGCGACACGATGTTAGCCTCCTGCTGAACGTTTTTTTTCCTCCGCAGAGGAAATGGAAAACTTAAGACAGGGGTGATAAATGACTTGCTCGGAGCCGCCATTATTGCTTATTGTAAAATATGTATGTCGGTTTGGAAGGTTGGAAAAGGATCAGAAGACGAGTAGTCTACATACCCCGGGGCCTTTGAGGAACATGTGCAAGATAATGTAACACTGACGTTGACTCCATTTTGTAATTCATTTGACAACATGAACTTTTTTCCTCTACTGATAATGAAAATGACTATGGACATGAAAAGAAGCATTGATAAAATAATATGTTACGCATGATTTTATACAATCATGTTCATTTTCCATCAATGAAATTCTTGGCTCGGAAAAAGGTGAGCAATATGACAGACTTTAAAACACACTATTAGGAAGCTGTGCGAATCTGTCAAAATTGAGATGAAAATAAAACAGAAATCAAATATTTATTTACAAAATAATGAAATTTTTTTACCTAGTCATATTTTGCAAAGCAACTTCAGGGTTGTAAAAATGACTGTCACAATGTTATTCATTTTCCTGCTTCTTAATCCTTAATCTCAATGTAAATTCTTGCTCTTCCAGGTAGCATTTGATAGATTTGCTACCCACAGAGCTGCAGTAGACATGCATTGCTGGATATTGCTTCGTCTTCTTGCTTCTTGGGGCATTTTTGAAAGTACATGTAATCAGATGAACTCGGCGGTGAAAAGTGGAGGAGGTCCATCATTCCCTGCTGCCTATTTCCATAGAGATATCAGTCTGCATGGCACTGAGCCAGTTTGAACTGCCACAAGATAAAGGTAGAGTATTTTTCTATGTGTACTTGGGCATTGACCTGGGAAAAATATTGGACATTTCTTGGCACGAACATCAGGAACATGAATTGTTTGGTACTAGAGGACATATACATATTGCACACTGGCTGAGCAGTTTTACAGGTTCAGTTCTCCAGGTTTGCCATGTCATTTATCAATATTATACATATATCATGTGCTTGGATTACCAAACTTTCATGAAATAGGTTTCTGGTGCATTGCCAGTGATACAATGTACATGACAGTGATATATATACCAGTGTCTTTAGTTGGCATGTTCTACATGTATTACGAACACTTGAAACGTGGCCCTTGTCGATATTGTAACACAATCAAGGTTGAATTAAGGTCAAAAAATTCATTGCAGGTAGAGCTACACCAGATACCGTGATATGAGGATATGGAAACTTAAGAGTTTATCAATTTTATGAAAAGTTTTTGGCATTTAAACTTTGTTAGACTCAGTCTAGTGTGGTTTTGGTGTTTTTCTTCAAAACTTTTGCATTCAAAAATTGTTCGAACTTCTGGTAAGTAACACTTGGTTGTTTTGGACAGGCATTGCGTAGTGGTTGTTTTGGACAAGCACTGCAATAATAATACGGTAATACAGTATTGACCCGCAGGCACAAGCAACATCTAGATCTGCACTGTGACCTGCACAATACATGCTTTTGGAGTATTTTGTAGAACCGACTTCTTGACATGCATACAATGACAGTGTTACTACTCAGGTGTCCGTGTGCCAGACGCATGACCAGACTGAGTATCAGTACCATGACAGGCATGCATGAGCTGTGTCGGCATGCTTTGTCCTTTCAGCTCAGTGAAAACAAACATTACTTATTTATGGTTAGCTCACACCCTGCATTGAATTTATGAAGAAGCTCTAGAATCTTCTGTGCTGTGTGATCAGAAGAGCATCTCAAATGTAAACTTCAAATTACAAACTTTCTTTTACTTTTCACACCTCGAGTAATTTTGAGTACTCCAGGTTTGAAAATGGAAGAACTGAATACTTTCTCAAGTTTCTGCATGCAACAGTAAATAGTTTGTTTATTTTCCTAGCTCAAATTTACCAGAAGAATTCTTATATGTATCAGATTGTCTCTAACCCAACTGGCTTTTCAGTCAGAAGGGTCTGATGCCTTGCTATTGCACATTTCACTTCAGATCTTATACATGTACATGTAACACTACTGGCCACTGAATGCGTGTTTGGAAATGGAGCAATTCTTTTCAATTCCAACTGACGTCAGTTACCATGAGTACCTACGTCAAGGCCCACTGTTTGCTGATTCAAACCAAGCTAGTATTCCTTTAAAGGTTATTTCTCTTAAAAGCATAGCTTGGCAAGTTGTCACCTTAACGTCTGCATCACTTAGTTTCCTTGACACCTCACGAATAGAAATATAGGGTTGAAGACATCTGTTTAGAACAGGTGTGACCGGCTAGAGTACATCCCTGGCCAAATGTACCATTGTGTACCCGGTAATTTCTATCCTGGACTATTACATTGTACATTAGACAGGGTAAATTTAGATTGTGGACCTGTAGCTGACATTCTCACATACTGAGAATTAAGCAGTCATACTTTAGTTTCATAATTTTTCTGTAACAGTTAGTCTACATAGAAATACATAAGCATAAAAATGCACATTTAATGGCAGCTGATTATCGGGTAAAAATCGACATGTCATCAGCTGACGGTGAAATTTATAAATGGACCATTAGCCTGACTCAAACTGTTAAATGTTAACCATTAGTCAAGAGTGGTAGGTGCTGTAATAGTACAAATTGTGCAATTTTTACATCATACAGGACCTGGTGACTTAACTGTGCATTCTTTGCAAAACTCACATAAACCTCCAGCATGCTGATTTATTCCTGTCTCAGCCATGGATTGAACATTCAGGACATCTATATGCCGATCTTCACAAAGTCAAAAGTCCTCGAGTATGATTTGAGGAGGTTAAAGCACATTGGAGCCTGAATGGCCCAATATACACTTAAATGTCCTTGGCTACATGTGTTGCATAGACAAGAAATGTAGGAATAACATTAGCATGCTGGTAAGGTTATTATAGATAATCACACAATGCAACAAGACTTAGAAATGAGTGAAAAACAGATCACATCACGACATGAAGGGTACTAACCTGCCAGCACTGTACCTGATTGACTTTCCTCTGATAGGAGAGAAGGCAGAAAAGAAGCAGAAAAGAATGAATGTAGAGTTAGTACATTTAGAATTTAGTAAGAAAGAATTATGAAAAATGTCTGATAACATAGTTTTTTAAAGATACCTGGGAAATCTGATAGAATGTAAGATTAATAAAATGGCATTCAACAATTTGAAAACAAATATTATTTTGAAGTTAAAATCATTATGTTTATAATGTTAATCAGCATGTTGCATTTGTTATACTAGCATATTAAGTTGCATTTAGTTGAAACTAATACGTAAACTATGGGTACAGCAGTATTAAATTTACCCTCATTACAAGATAAGATCTTAACCTGGAAGGTAGATCGATCTTCTTTATAACCCTCCCAATGTCAAGGCCAAGGAGAACTGTACATATTTGGCCTGTAACACTAGGAGGGTTAAGGGGGGCATTCTTAGAAAATGACATCTTCATGATTATCATTTTTCAAACTATCACTGGCATTAGAAGTGCATGAAATTAGCATTGCAACAAACCTAACCCTACAGATTTTTAAGGACCTCTAAAGTTATTAGAGTCTGTCAGTATGTGCATTAAAATGGGTGGATGCATAACTTCGTTGCAGATCTATTGAATTGTTTACATTAGCACTCTTGTGTTAGCTGTGAAGAATTGCTGAGTTGAAGGTCAATCAATGATAAATTGACATTCTAGCACTATGGCACCCATCCTCTATCTGTGACTACATGTATGTAGCCGTTAATAAGTAAGGCACCACGTACGATAATCACCACATGAAGGTGACACCAAAAAGGCAGACGCACCAATTATTCAACACAAAATTTTGACAGAAGGAGGCCATTGATTACTTCACCATCCTTAGAATTACCAACACTGTACATGTACATGTATTAGTGTTAAACACGTAACGTGACAGGACCACACAGTTTTTATCCCAACTGGTCAGCCACCATACTGATTTGTTTCACGTACCTTCGTGAGAAATGTACGACGAATTGCTAAACTGCAGCCGTGGCTGATCATGCTGGCTCCCTCCCATTCCTAGATTTCGTTGTTACAAAAGTAGAGTTGTTCACTTGATATTTTAATTTGCGTTTCATCATTCATTCCCATAAACTTTCCACAGCCCAATCTTATAATAGTCAAACATAAGGTTACATTAGACTTGGCACCATACAATGGGCATATTGTCCACAGCACTGGACTTCATTTAAAAAACCTAGACTTGTTAAGGATAGTATTTATTGTTTATTTCCATTTCTCCCCCATACCACAATAAATAAAAAATGCCTGGGTGGATTGTCTTAATATTTGGTATGTGGGTAGGTATTGGCAGGCCAAAGGATAAGTTTTATTGTCCCTAGTGGCTTGTTTATGATACTTCAGGGGAACTTCCTGGGTTTTAAATCTTAAGGTACGGTCAACAAATTGACATGGGAGTTCTACTGACAATGCAATTTTGTCCTTAATCAATTTTTTCCTTATATTTAATTTTATTTTCACAAGAAAAATACCACAAAGATCTGATTGAGACATTGCGTTATTCTCCCATTCCATCTTCTCATGGCCTGTTCCTTACGTAATGATCATACTGATGGGTATGGAATGGATGTCAAAATCCGCCCACACACATTACGTATGTGTAATGGACAAACCGTTTCATTAGCCTGAAGTAATCCCAGCAAGTGCTTCCTATGAAATATTGATGTCGTTGTAATTACCCCACTGCACACCGCTTGACCCGCCCATTAAAAATTGGGAGCAGTCACGCAGCTAAGCATGTGTTGCAGGGACAATTTTTCAAACTTGAAGGATATTGATTTCTGATATGGTAATGTGTGTGGTGTACAGCGTGTCCATCATATCTCACTTCAGCATTTTAAGTGTTCTGAGGGTCAAAACTCAGTTTCCTTTTAGTAACTCTGTAGTCATTTTTTATTATTGCAAGACTATACATTTTGTATTTTGCCACAAAAGACTAAAAAGTTAACAATTTTCTACAATTTTCTGACAGGTTGATAATTTTTTTGCCTCTTTTAACTCAATGCATGTAGAGTTACAGCTGCATGACATTCTTCTTATTATCATCAAATAACTTGCAGGGAATTGTCATAATACAAGCTATTATAGATACTGATCGCTAAATTTTTCCGGAGATTCATTTGGCATGAGAATTCTAATAATTTATTTCATAACAAATTGTGTTACAGATAAAATTGTTTGAATGTTTGAAACTTAATGCTTTTTATGAGAAACTAAAATTTGCCTGCAGGCATTTCATTTTAGTGATGAGGGAAGGGGAAAGGGTCACAGTCACACAAAAATGATTATATGTATATAGTAACAAAAATACAGTTTAAAGTCCTAATAAATGAAAGTTTTATTGCAAATTCATGCCCGAAGGCTAATTGCATGAACAGAAGAAACATTTGTATAATATATATAAATATACATATAAATAAATATACATAAACATATACATGAACATATTTTATTACACATAAATGGTACAAAAGTACACATTAAAGAGTGTCAGAGCTGGTATATGGTTCATTCCTTTTGGTCATTAGTGGTAAAAACATTTGGAAAACAAAGTTCAGCAAGCCACATACCATGCACCACAGAATGCTACACCATTAACAACTCCTAACTTCTAAACCCACCTCGGGCTATATTACCCAATTCATCACCCATGCAAAAGCGATAAGGGGTAACATTTAGATCTCTGCAAGAAAAATGGGGAGCGATGCATTTGGGTCATCTTTCAAACCTGTTTTATGGCATACGTTGCTCTCAAATTGGTTGGAAAATTTTCCAGCATGCATAATTTAGATAGGGTGGGTCGGTCATGTGTTAATTGGTTGGATTCTCAACAAGTTGTTGTGCTCATCATGTCACAGTGGGTAAAAATGATGACAGATGATGTTTCATCCCAAGTGGTTGGCAAAATGCAGGTCATCTCACATCCACAGATACTGGTGTATCCATCCATTATTGATGTAGCTTGTTGCTCTTTTATCGTTTTTTTTTATGGAAGACACAATATTAGACAAGTAAAGAAAAATATGTATTTTGGGGGGGTAAACTGTAAATACAACAGGAAATAGACCAAGGACTTGAGGCCATGTATTTTGTAGACATGACTTTTGCCTTAAGCTTGGGATATTGGACAATTTTTCCATCCTTCGGAAAGACAAAAAATGACCTTAAAGATGCACAATCTAAAAATTACAAAAAGATGCCTTCCTATATGCTAACCCCAGGGGTGTGAAATGTAATAATATCCACTGTATAATGGTAAATTTCATAAAGTTAAAACATAGCTCTTTGCTAGATATAGAATAAATGATCATGAATCATATCCTAACAACTGGAATTCTAAGAAACATCCTTTTTGCAATGGCTCCACCACTGCATGCCAAGTTTTTCTGCTGACAGAGCGACTGTTACTATACTTTTTATCAGTTGCCTAATACTAAGTAAGAATCTGGAATGGATCAAGTTTTACAAGCTTTACAAACAACTTCCTGTTTGAAATGACAGCTTGGAAGGGAAATCCTCACTGATATTTCTACACAGTCAGGAATATTGATGAAAGAATCCTCTTCATCGTAAATTCTCTTCCAAGAAATCAATGAACTAAGTATAATCTTGGCATAAGGAGGTAATATTTTTTCATGAATTATAGAAACATTAACCAACAATGATGGCACTAAGTGAATGGATAATTCTGATATAATCTGACTTATTTTACTTAATGAATCAAGGAACAACATTAACATTTATGTTATTTAATAGTTTTTAAGCATAATGTCTTATAATTTGTAGGTTGAGAGCTAGTACCATGCAAACATTGATCTATTTACTTGTGTATGCAAGTGATGTCAGTAGACTTTAACACCCATAAATAACCCAGGGTTGCTTAATCCTTCTATAAGTTGGGATCTTCACCATTAATCAACCGAACGGAACAAAGGAAAGTAACCAGCACGTTCAGGAGGGAAGTAATGCTTCCTAAGCAGATCAGCGGGAGAAAAATGGGACAGAGGGGAGAGTTAGGAAGCTGGGATAATCTCCGGGGACGGGTAGACTCCAGGGGAAACTGATTCCATCTGTCTGTGGGCAGGACTAATGAATGATGATAAAGGGGCTCGGAGTGATGGGATTACTGTGACCATGGGAGGGCTGATGATAGGGGGAGGCATGGCAGGAGGGAGGTAGGGAAAGGAAATTACAGCATTTGGTTCGCAATCAGAACCAGAGAAGGGGAAACGGCTGAAAATAGGGTTTCCTTGGCCTCATCGGTCCACAAATAGGGAGCATCAATTTTACATCACTCTAAGGTGGCGTTCTTAGCCCTAGGGTGAGGTGATTTATGTTTGAGAGGTTGCAGAGAGGGTTTCTCTCTTGCTTTCAGCTGTTAAACCCCAGACAGTAATGATGTAATCATAATCCATTTTGATTAGCATTCTGTCGCTTGATGGCTTTGCAGCGATTATTCTCTCATTAGCACGTTGGTAATTCCTGAATTTGTTATCCCTCTACGGAATAGCACGTTGGTAATTCCTAAATTTGTTACCCTCTATGGAAATGAGTTGAAGTATAAAGGCATGATTAATCTCATTCCATTCAATTTCAGACTTGCGAAGATATTCAATTGTCACATTGTAGTAACATCTGTGTCCATAATATCACCAGGGTCCATAATATTGCCACCTTGAGAAATAGTGTGCTTAAAGATATTTTTACTGCAACATACCCTAGGTTACAATAATGTACATTTGATGTGTGAAGGAGTGCATACCAAAAGTATGTTGCAGTAAAAATATCTTTTGCACACTATTTCTCAAGGTGGCGATATTATGGACCCTGGTGATATTTATATGGACACGGATGTTACATGTACCCCTAAAGGTGCTTGATATTCATTGGATACACAGCGTATTGTAGATGATTTGTGTTTCCAATGAACCAGCATCAAAGAGAATGAACATTCAGTCAAATATTCCCCCATCTTTTGACTTCAGTATTCCTATTCACCCACACATTTAACTTCAATAGTTTGCATGCCCCTCGGGAGCTATAGCTATTTTCTGGTTCACTTGTACAGTAAATATTGCCTGTCTTTACCTTAGATTGGTTCCACCTTTCTCAGAGTGCTAAATAGGTGATAAAGTTTACTGTTTTCCTCAGTTTTCTTAGATGTCAACCTTTCGACCGAAAGCTACAATGCAAAGCACTTTGCAAGCTACAATGTTGAAAAAAACTGAAGCTGGGCTATTTGTGAATAATGACACTTATTTTTATGCAGATCTACCTATGCCTTGTTGGCCACTATTTCATCTTTTAGCTAGCAAAATTGGCTGAACAGGACTAACTAGACGAATGTAGCAGCAATCAACTCAAAGATACCAGTATGTCAGTTAAAATTCAGTGAATCTTTCAAGTTTGTCCTATGTTTTCCTATCCAGTTGCTGTCATGCTGCCAAGTTTTTAATTAATTAATATGTAGAGTTTAGAATAACAGATGGTGCACTTACCAAGTTCTAAGTGGTCCGTTTCCTTCTCCACATCCACCCTCCTGGAGCAGTAGTCCTTGTCAGCGATGTAAGCCAGGATGACCAGGATGGGGAAGAACATGAACGTGACGATGGCTTCCCACAGATCCATCTCATCCTTGGTGTTCAGCACCAGCACGATGTACAACCACGCGTACGCAAATATGGAGAAGAAAGCTGTGACCGCAAACACCTTGACCGCCTTAATCCTGCGTACCTCGCCCGCAGGTATCGCAGAGACGCACACCGCCGTGATGATTAACAAGTTGAAGGCAGCAGAGCCGACGATGGTACTGGGACCGAGTTCCTCGGCTCTGAACCCAGTTTTAATGATCCCGACTATGGATAGCAGAATCTCCGGCGCGCTGGAGCCAAGAGCCATGAGTGTCAAGTTTGCTACCGTGTCGTTCCATATCCTGACCTCCACCTCCTCTACGATGTCCGTTCCCGGACTTGACGATGCTGATCTTCTTGGTCTTACTGGTGATGACCTCGATGGAACACATGAAGACATCGGCAATGATGGCCACACCCATGAAGCAGTACAGCATGGCAAAAAGGTACAGAAAGGCTCGCAGTCCAATAGGCCATGTTGCCTCCACAAATATAGGCAGGATAATACCCTTGTCCGAACAGAAATAGTTGTAAGGATTAATACAAGTCTCTGGTGCTGCCGTGGTTTGGTTCAAAAGTGGTGATATTGTTGTATTTGCCATGGTCAATAGTTTGTGCAAGCCATGTACTTTTCTCTGCAAATACCGATTCACCCCACGGCCTTGGCTCCAGTAGCTGCCTTCTTTTCACGAGCTGTTGGTCTGTAAAGAGAAAAGAAATGCTATATAAGAAAAATTGTCCCACAGTTCACAAAATGCTCTGTATATTACATGAATATATACATTCAATTCAGCATATTCAGTTCTTTTTCTTTCCTGTTACAGCACCTGGTCTATTCTTTTTTTCTGCTGGCAGCTACCAGACTGGAATGACAAGAGCACTGAAAAACAATTATAAGGTAGGGACGACACACAAGCTTTGTTTGTATTGAATTTCTTAGTATCACTGGGGGCACCTGTTGTTATGGTAGCAGCATAGCTGATTGCCTCAGGGTGGAGTACATGTAAAGGCACTCATGTGGCTATAATGAACCCTGACACTACATTCAACTTGCGAGAATGCTTCAGCTCTGCATACAACAAGTATACATGTACAGTATATATGGCCTTTTGTGTTGATAGCAACTGTCTAATTTATTTCTGGAAGCAAACTTTAATTGTAAACTTTAAGGCAAATAGTACATATTGTTATGTAATGTTCACCTAAGGGTGAGACAACTTCAGTGCTCATTTGAGTACTCAATCATTGTAAATGCCATAAGCCTCACATAATTCCTGCAAAGACATTAAATACGTTAAACCAGTTAAATTGAAGCAAACAAGATTCAAATCCTGTTACCTTACTGTGGCATGGTCTTGGGCCATTTCATCCACTGTGAAAACATCAGCAGGAGTGCTGCTGAATACACAACCAGTCACAGTTGTGACCGTCTATTGACTGCCGACCTCCGCCCATCTCACCTAGCTACTGTCGTCACAACACTGCCACGGGAGGTTTTACCGTAATAGACTCCTACGTACGCGTCAATCATGCCAATCATGCCCCAAGGCACCGCCCTAATTAATGCCGGAGAGATCTAGAGCGATCACTAAAGGCAAGAGTTGCAGACCCACTATTATTCCGGTTAAACTATCTAGGGTGATCTTTGGAGGAGTTTACGAGACACCTGTTTTGCCCTGCTTCTCTAAAAAAAGAACTCAGTTTAAATGCTAAACTTTTGTAGATATTGTCCAATGGAAGACTTTCCTTATGTATTGTGGTATGCATTGTCTGACTGAAAGATAAGAAAACCTATATAGTAAATAATATAAATATATTTAAAGCTTAAAAAATTTTGATGTCTTTGAAAAACTGTAACAGGTTTCCCCATAATCCTCTGTTACTTCCAAGTTGCTGAGAATCCACTTAACATGTGTATGAAAATCCCACTCACACTACTGGTCATATCAACCCTCAATCTCAACCTCAGAAAATCCCCCCAGTTCAGAAGGGCCTCTTGGACACACAATCAAGACTGTAGTCATTGGCCTTAAATATGACCTGAGATCCCTATCTACTGTTGGCAGCACATACGGCGTACATCACGGAGCGAGCATCTGACTTGCAATTGGAACCATTCCAACCTTTCTACCCAATAAAATCTCTTGTCCAGAATGCGCAGTAAGTGTTCATCGTATGTCATTCTACTGTCACCTTTAATCCAAGTATACGATGGGGAGAAAATAGCTGTTTCAGCACACAGCCACTAAAAGTGTTCCAAGTTATAGCTTTGCATTATCTCCCGAGACTTACCCAACAAACAATTGCGCATGCTGTGTTAAATAGCTCTAGATTTTTCAGTTCATAAAACATGAATTACTGAGTCTGTTTTTCATGAAAGGTGATGAATGCAGAGCATTTAGTAAAAGCTAAGTGACGGCATACCAAGTATTTCCTAATGTATTTAAACATACGGACAAGTTGAAATGAGGTATGAAATCGTACGGGGAAGTGGATAGGCTGTAGCATATGAAGGACGTTCAAGTACAGCCTAAAAGCGGGATTTTGGACGCTGGCCAAGACAGTTACAGGTAAGGTTATTCTCGTCACGGGCAAGGAAGAGACCCAGCTCTGGGCCACAATGCACCGTGACAATCTGGGGGCCGGTGATAAGATTTATCAGTCCGAGGCAGCCATCACTTTTCTACAAATCGATGATGATGATGACATAGCCATGAAAACATTGTTAACTGCATGTTGTACCAAGGCTTTAAAACTTAAAGTCTGTGATCTAATCATAAGCGGGCATAAAACGTAATGCGGACAGACCAGGGAGGATATCAAAGAGGGCTGTCTGAAAAGTGCTTTCAGGTCAACAGTTCATGTACCTACTTGAGGAACTTTCTCTGTCAATGTTTGTTGAACATCCCTAACCTGTGCAACTTATTTTTTCACTTGCATACATACTGTACTTTCATACTTAACATCCGTGTCCATAATATCACCAGGGTCCATAATATCGCCACCTTAAGAAACAGTGTGCTTTAAGATATTTTTACTGCAACATACTTTTGGTATGCACTCCTGCACACCTCAAATGTACATACCTAGGGTATGTTAGAGTAAAAATATCACTTTTTCTCAAGGTGGCGATATTATGGACTATGGTGATATTATGGACACAGATGTTATATCATTGACACAATGACACACATCAACAGGTTCTTCAGAAAAACAATGTAATTTGACTTGCAAGTTGCATGACAGTACAGATCATCTTCAAAGGCCGGAGACAAGGATGTATAAAGACGACATGCCTACAGTATCACTTCTTTGCAGACAGACAGACAAGACATTAGAGATCTGGATTAAAATGTTCTGCATGCATATGTACCATATCCATACTACAGACAATAAAACCTGACATTTCACAGTAGCCAGGTACATCATGCATGTTACTCTGGGCAATCTTAAGAAAATACCACGGAAGCTAGACAGTCTAGACACATGTGTACCAGCTAGCGTGAGATGGATAATCAATAGATGCATGTGCTTTCATATTAAACTTTTACCAGTTTGACAGAATCCATTAAAAACTGCAGATCCTCTATCTCAAGTCAGTAATCCCCAGTAATCCAGGTAGTTGATGTTAAATCCATTAAACATTTCATAACAGGATGTTTTAAGGTCAAAGTGGGTATATAATCATGCCTTGGAGGCAAATTTAGGCATGGACTTATAACTGTCATGTCATACAGGTGTCTGTTTCTATTTTTAAGACCTTCTCATTGATGGCTGTGACTTTAAGGATATACTGCAAATCTTTTATTTAAGGTAGGGATCAAAATCCTTATTTTGAATACCCTGAAAGACTGCCACTTGGAGAAGGCCTGGGTCATGTGAATTCTTCCAATACAAGTTTCTTTTTTGGCGACGCCTCAGGGGCGGAGGCATTTGTGTAAGTACTGCGATCGCTTTGAAAGAATTTCAAAAATTGCATGAATGCATTCCCTAGGGAATTGGTTTTGAGGTAGCCTCCGGCCTTGTGGTCATCAGAACAAGCAGGAAAGGCTTATGTTACCATGCATGCAATAGCACCTTTTCGGGCAAACTGTGGCTTTTTGCACACAGAATATTAATGATTGTCTTTATTGATATTTCAAATATGTTTTCTTCTATCAAAAGAGAACAAATTTCTTGCTCAGGAGCAGCATATTCAAGCTTATAATATTTCAAATATGTTTTTAGTTGCAACTATATGATGCTGGTCGTTTTTTTATAACTTTACTGTGTGACACATGTAGTGTAACAGTGATGTTTTGTGTAAGGAATTTTATTCACTTGTGTGTTTTCTATCATGTATGTTTGTGTCAGTCTTGCTTTTTTATTTATTATTTTCTTCGCTTTCATGATGCTGTTGCATTCCATGCTTGTTTTCAATTTTCTTGGCTGCAAAACATGAATGCACACCCCAATCCTTCCACGACTAGGTTTCATGCTAAGGTTTCATGCTAGCCAGTGAACTCCTGCTGTAGTCTGCATCTCAGGGTGGGCATGGCGAAGTTTACCTGTGGGTATAAAAAGAGAAAAGGGCATAAATGAAACGTATATCTGAATTAAGTTTGAATAAGTTCTTGTATTGTACTGGTAATTGTGAGTTGTTATGTATCACCTTATGGACAAAAATGGCTGTTTGAAACTTATTTATGTCATATACCGTCAAGATTTTCAAATCGTGAAATAGAACCATATTATAATTGTAATAAAAAGTTTAAGAGTATTTCATTTCAGTATAGCCTGGCAGTTAGACCATCGTAGACTGCCTGGTATCCGTACGGTGAGTTGAGTACTGCCCGCCCGCTCAAATCAATTAGTGCATGCCAGGGTGTTTACGGGGTTGGTTTTGTTTGCCTACATGATGACAATAACTAGAAAGGTCAACTGGAAAGATTTATAGCTAGTATGTCAAAAGAGGTTTATGTCTAGTATGGCTGGGGCCTGTAGAACAACCCTTAGAAAGCCAAATATGTATCTATCTGTTGGAACGCCGTGGTTAGAATTGCTTTGCTGTAGGTGGAACGTGTGTCAGAACTAGCATGACCTACGAATTCGGACACTATTCAAGCTCATGAATAGGTGAAATCTCTAACCTAACAAAAGCAGTGAGTATCAGACAAACATTTGGGAGGGTACTGTACACAAAATGTTTTAAGTTGAATGATGTTAAGTTGTTATGAAACAGGCATTTGACACTTTTGTAAGAAAGAAAGTGAAAGTACACACGTAGCCTGTGTAGGTCAAAATATACTCCTACTACTACAGGAATCGATGGTCAGGGACAGGCAAGCCTAGTCAACCTCGGGTACAATTTCTGGATAAAGATATGGCTTTATATAATTTTTTCTAAGACCACTGATAGTATCGACTTTCTAGCGAACATAAAACATGTAGTTAAGAATTCTTCAATGTAATAGAATATTTCACAAATCACAACCAAATTGTACTTTCTCTACAAAGACGTAAAGAATTTTTCTATGGACAATTTCCGAAGATCACAAGAACTGCTTCACGATGGCACTATGACTATGGGGAAAATTACTGTCGACATTATCGTAAACTGTAATACATTGCCAAATCGTAGGTCATACATGTAATTCTTCTTCACATATAGTGGTGACCCCATTTAAAACCACAATTAACAACTTCCTAAGGACGGGTTTAT